TCTGCTTCTGCTATGGAGAGGTATCCAATGGATATCCATCAACAGCGGCACTCTGTGGACAAAAAGTTTGCTTATGTGCAGAACGGGCAAAGTGACTTTTTTGGGCCCTATCTGTATATCTTCTCTTCTTTGGCAAGTCGATTAGCCCCTAGTTCGTTCCATGCACCCTCTTGGTACTGCCTGTCTGTCTGTCTCCATGAAGTGTGGTTTTGAAGGCTCTTTCCTTTTGTTAGTAGGCTGCATCTAGAGACCACACTTGACGCATTTATGTGCTAGGAAGGGAGTTTCTGAGCATGATTCCTTTAACCCTTTGACTACTGCTGGTACACATGTGTACCACTTCCGTAGTCAAAGGCACTACCACAGTTTTGGGACTTATTGAGATAGGAGCGCCCGCTTGATGGCGGAATTGTGCACGGATGGGAACTTTATGATTCTACTCTTACACTGAATCGCCTCAAGTAAAGGCGAGTTATCCTGGATGAGTTACTAAAGCAAGTCGTACCGAAGGTCCGAAGGTCACTGGCCAGGGTGCGCAGCTCCCAAAAAAGTGGTTTTCATGTTTCGCACACTTTCAATACTGAAATGTGTATTTGTAAATGGTAACTAAATTGCGATTCATATTTCAAAAATATTCATTCGAGCGGAGATGGTGTGGTGACAAGAGGGCCACTACCGCGCGCATGGTCCCTGGATCAAATCCCAGGTCAAACACAGCGTACGTCAGCCAAATTTCTGCAGATGATTAGCTGTTGCCGGGAGCATTAGTTATCATGCAAAACACATCAATGTCCTCATCACAAAAAAGTCGTAGTCTAAAGGGTTAAGCAATTGCTGTAACGGAAGGTGCCGTCGACTACACCATGAACACAAGTAGAACGTAGAAACTCCAATTTTCAAAATCATCAGAACATCTGGGACGATAGTAGACCTCCCTCACCTCAGAGTTAACGTGTCTTGTTGTTCTGTACTTCTCAAGTAATTAGGGAACCTCGTGGTTTGATCTAAGGTTAATTCACGGTTGTCTGACTCCTACTCTATGATAAAGGCCCTTGATGACCACCTCTGACTCGGAGTTGAGGGTAGTTTACTACCGTCTCTGGAGAACTGGTTATGGCAATAAAATCATTGATTTTGTATATTATAACTGTTCCGTTTGTAAAACCAAAATTGCTTTTGTTTTTGTTTTTCGATCTCATATGTAATGTACTTTTTTTTCCAAATTTTGTTTTAAGGGGTGGATCACTCTTCTATTTATTATTTATTAATTTTTATAATTATTTATTATTATTTATCTTTTTAATCTATTGTGAGTCTCAAAGCCGCTCTATTCTCTGGTATTCTTCTTGAATGATGCATCGCATATGTATTCTAACAATAGTTAAATAGAATCCCTCTTTCTAGGTGCGTGATAACATCGCTCTATGTACCACAACTTCTCTCACTGATGTGGAGCAACGAGTACGAGATCGACTCATGCGGAGGTACGGTGATAAATCTCAATCCATAGTGACATCTTCATAGCACGTCTTTCCTCTTTCCTCCGGCTCCTTCACGTTACTCCTTTGGTCTACTGTTCCTTTGATACTCACTTCGACCATAAAGTGGCAAAATTTGTGTTCGATCATCATATGTCCTGGATGATCACCATTATAACTGAAAAAGGAGAAGAAGGTATTGCGACATTCTATCACACGGCACGAATTAGAGGTAAATACGCCATGGTCAGACTTCCTCATAGATCATTTCCTAGAATAAACTACCACTCCAATGTTCAATTCGGTACATGAAGTCACAAGAATCGGATTTGGTCAACCAAATTTTCGCCCCACACGGGACTTGAGGCCAGCACCCATCTTCTTAACCGATAAATAACGCTACCAATTCACGCTAATCGGACACATTTCGTCCCTACTCACACTTTCATGTACTACGTGAAATGAGAAGCTATTTCCCCCAGCCTGCGCGCCTTCTATCTTTTGAATTAATAGTGCAGGTTGGGACTTTAGCTCTCTTCGTGAAGGTTTACAGCTTCGTCAAAATTTGTGCATCCTCTGCGAATAAGTGATAGAAACAGTGCGAGTAGGTGACAGATACACGTACCCCCGTCCTTCAACCGTACAAATCTGTTGCCCCCTAATGCTAGGCGTGATGCTTGTACGTCGAACATATTTCGAATGATCGTTGAGGCCAAGAAAGCGCTATTGAGATCGTATAATGTATGCTATACGAAGTTATTACGTGTGATTTCGTAATGCCTGGTATCCGCTTTACTTATTAATTTTCATACTTGTAATTGGGTTCCGTGCACAAACCTTAGACCCAGTCACCGTCCCTGACTGATCTCTGAGAGGTAACCATCCTTCATTACCTCATTTTACATTAGCTATTTATGATAACAGGACCGAAAACGGCTGGAGTCTGGGTTCGCGGTAATTGTGGCTTGAAGTCTAGGTTACGGTAATTGTGGGAAGGCGTGAGTGAATCTTTATGGCTGCTGTTTTCAGGTACTTCGACCGACTTGAAAATGCTGGTTGGAGTGGCATGGATGTGGCGGCGTACTGGCAAAGATTGAAGAAATTGGGGCTTACGGCTCTAGCTACGCATAGGTCGGATATTTCGTTCCCTTCACATCAATTTCGTTTTATTTATTAAATTTTAAAATTCGTTCAATTTTAAGTTTCCCCATTCTGTCTTATTTTGACGGGCGCGCAAAGATAGGAAATCGCCCATGGTCGAGATCGTGGTTGAAGCAACAGTCCCAGCAGGGTTTTTACCTTCGACACTAATGGTGCGCTAGCCCTAGTCAAGAACATAAGAAGTGTGACTGAACAAAAAACTCACCTTGGAAAGCCGCTAGAAAGGGAGCTGAACGGCTTCGAAGTGGGCGTGGTTGAATCGGCTGCCCCCTCGGCCGATTCAACCACGCCCACTTCGAAGCCGTTCAGCTCCCTTTCTAGCGGCTTTCCAAGGTGAGTTTTTTGTTCAGTCACACTTCTTATGTTCTTGACTAGGGCTAGCGCATCGTTCCACACCATTAGTGTCGAAGGTAAAAACCCTGCTGGGACTGTTGCTTTAAGGATGCGTTTAGACGCCTTAGTCACTGTCTTGTGGCGCTTACCAGCGTGCCATGATCCCCTTTCTCACAGCAGTTCTCCCCCAAGACCGTGATCCTTGAGAGCGCCGTGCAATCTATCATCAAGGCTCATTCCCCGATCATCCGTAAGTAGCACACTCGTACAGATAGAGTCAGTGTCGTTCTCGCGGCTCTACGGTGCTCCTCACTGTTGAAGTGAGGCTAGATGAGCCTCAACAACGCCCACCGGAGTTTCTGCGTATCGCTTGTCCCCCATGCTGACTCATCTGCTCTTTTCTCTCGGCGCCCAGAGTGTCTAGTCTGTGCCTTCAAATTTCAGTGCCAATGTTCAAATGGTGGATTATCGAATGATGAAACAAGACTTATAAAGACACTTATGAGAATGCGAATGCCAATAAAGATGTGCAGAACCAATGATCAAGTGACCGGACCAATGAATGTTCTTGCGGGGTGTTCTGCGCCTTCACCTTAGCCAATGAATTCGAAAAACCGTAGGTCGCTGGCTGGAATAGCATCCTAGTTTTAGGTGAAGAGACTCTGCGTCGAACCTTTAGCCCAATTTCTTCCCAAAACTAGTCATGGGCTTACGCCTATTCGAATGTGTTGCCGCAGCCGCAGTTAGGTATACTCCCTTTCAAAAAACGAGAAGAGCGTCGGGTGCAGAACATACACCACTAGTGACGACGGCAAAAACGGAAGTGCTTTTTCTTTTCTTTTTCTTGGACGTCGTCACTTGTGGTGTGTTTTCTGCACACGACGCTCTTCTCGTTCTTGGAAATAGAAAGTGCGACAGCCAGAAGCGAGTTCGCCCCGCATCGACTGCAGCACAGTTTTGTCGCGCGCTGCGAGCGCTTGATTTCGCGGCACGCGGCGAAGGCTTACGCCGGGTACCCCCCAGGAGGCCCGTCGCGCGGCAAGAGAGGACGAGTTGCGCGCACACTATAGGGATTTCGCGTCATGTTAAAGGAGTGTCCCATTGCACGTCTACATCGCACATCACGCGCTGCAACTCGTCCGACGACTCTGCCTTCTTGCCGCGCGACGGGCCTCGCGGGGGGGCGAGGCTTACGCCACACTCCGTCCCGACATCCATGAATTTAGCAGTTTGAACATGATCACAACGGCTGTAGATCTAATATGGCCTTCTTAGGCATTCATCAGTTGAGAGCCTTGGCAGTACTCTGAATGGATTTTCTTTACACTCGTCACGTAGCAGTTCGGATGTGAGAGTGCCACGAAGAGGGCGCAAACAATAAACGACATGCAAAATATTTTCTCATTATACACTATGCTCAATATGCATGGCTCAACCCTGTTGCACCTGTTTTCTTAACTTCGGTAGTCACAAAGCTGTTAAGGTTATTGAACGCTGTTAATATGAAATGAATTTATTGTGGATAATTATTCTTCAATTTGCCTTGAACTGTAATCATTCCTCACATCTCTAAGTCAATTCCATATAAATTTCAGTTTTGATTGATAAAGCTTGGAATATCCACTGCTAAGTTCTTAAGTGCTTTAATATGAGATTCCCTTCCAAACTTTTCCTTCATTCTCCTACACGCCTCTTTTATGAAGTAACTAATTTCTTTTAGAGTTCGTTTTAGTTACGAGCTCCAAAAAGTTGCATTGTGGGACGGCGTGATTCGATAACGAATCACGGTGGCCGCACTCAACCCAATCGGTCGGAAAATTTGGAAAAAAAACTCGCGCTAATGTGCATAATGTGTGCATAATGCAATACTACAAGAAGCATCGCGGTTGAAGCTATTGTGAGGTTCTCAGTTCCACAGAATAATAGGCTAGACTAAAAACACGCCAGTTTGTCAGCCCATGTAGTAAATTATAAAAGGGGGACAATGACTCTCGAACAAGTGGCACTTGACAAGGTCAATGCATTGGTTTTTCTGAGAATGGAGCTGCTGCGTGATATAATACGGTAAGTATTTGTCGGAACCTTGAACAGTTTTATGCACCATAATGAAATAACTGGCAGTTTATTTATAGAGTTCGGAAGAGTACACAATAGTCGTAAAATCATTCATGACGAATGTTGAACACTACAAATATTTCAGTATTTCAATGCAATACATAAATCACGGTAATCTCACAAATTGGAAGCGCTGGAACCTTTTGTTGCTATTTACTGGTACAAAGAGTAAAACAATCTGAACTGGATTGAGTTTTCATGCGAATCTTACAAAAGGCGTTGAGTTACCAGTGAATCACAAAAGGCATAGAAGAAAAGTGAAGCGCAAAGCATGCGATATGTGGCGACGATGAACAAAAGCTGACTGATGAAAACGGACGTAAAATTACTACTACAACTTGTCCACCTAAATGAGGCTGCACTGGAACGAGCTTTTTGGACGATACGGGTTCATCTTGTCATTAGGAAATCCGGTCAACAGCACATCCTCGCGCTGTAGATCTTGTGTGAATCTGTAAAAACCAACGAGACAATACATAAGGACAATAGGTAAAAAAAAACACCTGAAACTATGGCATCATTAGCACCTTAACAGCGCGGCAACTATGTATGCCGCCATTTTGCACCTCATGGGACATTGTGGCAACTATGTATGCCACACCATTACATTTATTTTTTGCGCATGTGCCCGATTTCTTCCCAAGTTTTCTGTGTTCATTTTATAAACCATACATCAACATAACCAAGAACCACGTGGCTTACAGATTGGCCGAAAATTCCTTGTTTTGGCAGAGGTTTCCAGACCTTACAAAAATGTCCGTTCAGTTCATTCCTGTTTTCTTTTTATTGACGCGAACATGTAGATAAAAAACAATAACGCTCCCACAATCGCTCTGGTCCCACGCGGCCAAAAAGCTAAAACGCGCGATGTCGTCAATGTGATAAATACACATGGTAAAGATAAACTGATTTCCACTCTTGAACTCTACATCTCTAACCTTTCTCATTTACAAGAGCCTCCCAAAACTGTAACTATTCAACCGCTACAAAGTCATGTATGAGTTCTTTGAAATGCGAAAGTCGTCCTCATCACGTTTAAAATCTTTCACCCTTTCTGACATTCCCATGGTCCCGCTCCAGAAAAAATCATCAGTTTCATGCTCCACGCATGTTGCCAAGGAAACGATTTTGAAAAAGCGTTCCACATTCTGAAAGACTATCCTGGTAAAAGAAACGGCCCTCCGACGGAAGGCTTGTTTCGTCCTGGATTTTAGCTCTAAGCGAATCACATTAATGCTGACGTCATCAAAATGAATATTTTGCTCTAGCTCTCTGCTAAAAGGACTAGAGTCCGACGGCTAGGGACCAGCAGCTGCGGTAGCCGGTAGGTGGAGAACCGCGAAGGGAATTCTCCGCCGTAGGCGAAGTCTCAGCAGTCGTTGCAGGCTCAACCTCCGCAGCAGAACGCCTCGGTTCCCTTAATGGACCTGCCTGCTTCCACAGTGGATTTATTTCCCCTTCTGCGACCTCCACTTTATCGTAGCACCTGTCTTTGAACAATACCTTATCAAATCTGCTGCAGATGCAGAAACTGGAGTACGTCGCATGTTCCGCTCTCCACGGAGTTGCTCTATTGTCTTTTTTGCCTTGCTGGACTGCCTGTTCACGACTGCTCATCCTGAAGAAGTGCATGAATACCTACGACACAGCACAAATTTCAGTACCGTAACGAGCTCAGAGATAATTCCGAATGTAAAAGATACAACGTCCACCACCTAGTCTTCACGATTCTTGAGAATGTATAACTGTGAAAAGATGAAGCCAATCAACGATTGAATACGACAGTATACAAAGGGTGAAAACAGTGATAGCGTAAAGAGGTGGGAGCAATGATCTTTCGTCGCCTTTTTTGGACGAGTGAAACTCGGAATCAAACAACGGAGGACCGCTTGAAATGGAAACAGAGGTGCGACATGCTCTCACATCAACAAAAAATGAAACAAACACCGAAGCCCGTATGATGGGGTTACAGGGGGGACAACCTGGGCAAAAAACGACATTTTGCCCAGGTCGCCTTTTTTTCTTCGCAGAGATTGCCGTTGACGGAAGTTCCTCAGCAAAATATTCCCTAAATGTCCCTCTATAAGTACACGCAGGCCCTCCTTCACCCTCACCGTCTTCAGAATATGACGTCATCTGTCACCGTCGTCGAGCTCAGGGAGGCCTACAGTAACTGCTTCAGCCTGAAGCTCTTACATAATTTCTTGGATCGATTCAACGTGGGATAGTTTTCCTAGGGACATTAGCTCTAACTATGCAAACCCCCTCGGAACCCG